AGAGAAGGCTGACAAGCGATGCACAGCAAGCCGAACATCCACTGAGTCAGGTCAACTCAGCTGGTGCCAGACTTGAGTGACATTGTAACAAACGCTTCAACCTGGCTCATCGGGTTCGTCATTTGTCCTATTCGCTGCGTTTCCTTGTTCAGACGTCAGACTTTTAATTGCGATGTCACCGGGCCCATTGTGCTGAGGGCTGCGATGAGACGTTTAGGAAGAACTTGTTGCAGTTATTTAATTGTTCCTATCTCATTTAGGCCCTAAAACTGTCTGAAAATTTTGGGTGACTTGTCAACTGCAGAGCCTGTAGAAACCAATTTAGTTTGCACATGAGTGTATTTTGCTAATTTCATGCAATTTGCTTTCAAGTAGAACATGAGGTTGACAGAAACTCGGGGACTGCGCCCTCCTGATGAGCCCCAAGAAGGGCGAAACCGGTCGTGGACTGTCGAGGGGTTTTCAGCAACCTTATGAGTAGTGCAGTACGAATATACCTGTAACACCAATGACAGACAAGTGTGCTTGCAGTATGTCACTGCCCAACTTCACCACCAAGCTTTGGACAGAGTGAAACGCCAAAAATATGTGCTATCAACAGATCTGTCGGCCATGAGAACATAAAAAATGAAGAGAGGGGAAAATGCAGGCTGGCCCAGAAATAATGCTAATCTGGTCAACAGTTTATATTCCAGTGGTTTGTGTTTTCGGAGCGATTGAACTAAAATTGTATGTAGGAGAATACCCATATCTAGGCAACAATGTGTTGACCAATGACTGTCTTCTAACCCACTCAACTGTTTACCTTTTTTGAAATGCCTCCTTGGTGAGCACTGACCAGTTTTCAAATGTCTCGAAGCACAACTGCTCAAGCAAGGCGGTCTGTGGCAAGGTTGTCAGAAATATTGGTGGGTTCATGTTCTACTGGGGCAAGCGTTTAGACCCAAACTTTCAACAACGGTCTTGAAAGTGTCTTTTCAGGTTTTCAGCTTCCCACCTTGTGGAAAGCACCTATTTTTGATTGTTAAAGGGCGGACCAATACAGGTGACGGAAGGTCCTTGTTGAGGTTCCCGATACGGAACTTTGAGTGACGCGTAGGTTCGCGCAATCCTGAATATCAAAAGGAAGAATTGGGTTCGTAATTCTACGGTACTATTTACACAAGGGTACAGGTACAACAAACCTCAATTATTCCCGCCCGTAGCGTCAACAAGCTCACAGGTTTGTCACTGACCGGCACAGTGCACAGTCAACGTCCGCACACCAAACAACGGCTAGCAGAATGATGGCTCAGTAGCGTGGGCTCCGGTCGTCCCATCCCATGACGGTCTCGTGACTCTTATTGGACGTACGATCACACGGAACTCATGAGAAAACAAGTCAAGGCAGGCTCTGCAAACGGGACATGAACGCGCATGGACAAGTAGATCAGCCGTGCACATTCACACACAGACACGCACGTCAATACACAAGTGTCGGACAGGGCGGCCTCTGCGACAAGGTGAGTGGTGGGTACGGACGAACAAAACAACTGGAGGTCAAAAGCACATAGGTCGCACACACAGGTCAACTGTCCTGAGGACGCACTTTGGGAGAGGTTTTAAACAACAGTGGCCAAAATACGTTGTCCTACGAGTATCTGAAGCACACATCGGTCAAGTTTAGCAACGTAAAATTGCGAACCAACAAACCTTTGTCCTTGAAACAATTACGTTTCCTGCTGTAGTAGCAGGAATGCCACAGCAGCATCAACACAGCGGACCATGACTTTGCCGGAAGACTGACTATGCCGGGCTATCGGAACCCGAAAGCATTCTTCAGAGCCGGAAGGAGCACTCGCTAACAGTGCGCGTTTTTTCTAAGAGTTCAGGCGATTCACGGGAGCATGATTTTGCTTAAAGTACGATGGTATTAGGAATAACTTGTCACGTGCTGCCTATCCACCAACACGGCTTTGGGCTACCACCACTGCTTATTAAACACACGATTGTGGGCTTTTTTTCGTCTCGGAACTCTAAACTTCCACCGTCGAGTTATTTCGTTCTTTGTAGCGTACACACTATTTTGACTGGATGTCATCGTTAAGAAACGACTGTCTACCTGGTGCTTGTTCATAACCTCTTCGATTACACAGTTGACACATGGACAACATGCAGGCAGTTGCCACTGATTATGCAAAGTTTACCGACATCAGATTTAACTCGACCGGCAACGATGCCATTGAAATGTGGGCCATTCCGATGCACATATTCTGCATTTGGAATCCTCTCCTGTAAGCTAGACAAGGGAAACATGTTTCGCCATGAGGGGTGTCCGGGTGGTATTTCTTCAGAATTGTCAAAATTCTGACATTTCAGCAACGTGAACTAATTTTCCGAGACATGATTCTGCTAGAAAAAATTGATATTTGAGATTCAACACAGAAACTTCTGTTGAATGCTGCAGTCGATACTGAAGACTGCCACGTGATTGTAAAAAGTAGATCTGTAGAGCCTAAGCAATGCTGTAAATACCAACTTAAAGGGGATGACTTTGATAGAGAAGAACGAGGTTATGGAGTGATCAGTTCGAGTCTGGAAGTGAGGTAGATTCTGATTTTAACCGTGAATGTGCCCTACAACTGAATCCAACGTATGCTCAACAACCGGCAACACTGTTCAACCGCCCCATCTTCGTTTGTTGCGCGCACGACAACCCACCTGGGAGAGTCGAATTCGACACGTCTGAGCTGGTTTTCGAAGACCTGGTCTTTCGGTAATAGGAATGTCTTCTGTAAACACAGAGATACTCTCCGGAGGTATCATCTTGATTTGATCCACATCGGTTTTATCTGGTTCGATATGTACAAAGCCCTTTATGTACCGTTTTTTTTGTGCCAATGGTTGAATACTTAATAACGTATAAGCAACCGTGACTGCTGAAAAGTGGATTGTGAACCGATAATGCCGTGCCACACCCAAACTGGGAATATAATCCACCTCAAATACAAAGACATTTTCGTTGGTGGTTAATCATTCCTTCGACTGTGCTAAAAGAATGGTGATCAGCAAGCCACTCTTCGGGAAGGCAGGTTCATTATTAATTAATATTCGTACTGTGACTCCCAGATCAAATAAAACAACAGAATGACACGATCGGTTGAAATATTCTTTCATTAATGAAACAGGACTTGACGTGACAAGTCTACTAGAGCAAGTCAAAAATTACTGTCGGAACACTTGGTGTACATTGTCCCTGATTGCTTCAACGAGCGTTTAATGTCATCACGATTAGCAAAAGTCAGTTTGATCGTTCGACAAATCGTTTAGATCACTACCAATTGACAAGTGGCAATACTTATTGTTTATTCGGTTAGCATAATGTTTCCGGTTTTCATAATCACGTGGAATTTGAAAATACTCACGAATAATTCGAAAGTTTAAGCTTGAACTGCGCGCTCAAGTTTGTCGTAAATCAATTACAATAACAGCATAGTATAGTGTATAGTATAGTATAGTATAGTATAGTATAGTATAGTATAGTATAGTATAGTATAGTATAGTATAGTATAGTATAGTATAGTATAGTATAGTATAGTATAGTATAGTATAGTATAGTATAGTATAGTATAGTATGGTTTAGTATAGCATAGTACAATACAGTGCAGAATAGTATGGGATGGTATAGAACAGTGTAGTATAGTGTAGTGCAGCGTTGCATTGCATAGCATTATGCACTACAGTAATGCGTAGTATAGTATAGTGCATGGTATAGCATAGTATGCGTAGTATAGCATAATGCAGTATGGTATAGGAATTACCGATTCCGAAATAAGCTATGCTGCCCTCAGAAGCCACTCAGGTATTATTCATCACGTGATACCATGCAAGATGGAGGCCTTTCAGTCAAATTTATTTCAATGTAATCGCACCCAAGAGCAGTACTGATGGGTGATTCCAAACTGTTCGAAGTCCAGATCCCTGTTTTCTTGGTCACTGTTTACTTCATTTTTAGATGACTGATACTTGACAAATTCCTCAGGTAATTTTTGATAGCCGTAGCGATACTGACGTCTATAATTCCTTGATAAAATGATATCGCAAAATGAACACCAGTATCACAAGTAGATAAATGAGGGATATTTTGCAAAACTGTACTTGTCTGGCCAAGTAAAAGATGATAACCATGTCAACTAGTTAGCACCTGATCGAGTTGACAGATGAGGGAAACTTGGAAGCGAAAAACCCATCAACCACCGATCCGTTGCTACTGCCAACCGCTGGTCGGTGAGCAGCGCCGATTCAATAAAATCGCGCAATGATCTCATAAAGACTGCTACTGTTTATACGAAATACATACGCGCATACAATATAAGTACGCATATAAGTATGAATAATAAGATGGAGTTCGATATATATTCCCTCATTTTATGAGTCACTGTCAAGATTCTTCAAGAGTTTAACGAAATGCAAGATTCGCCGTGAAACTGAATCAATATTATACCTGGTGGCAAATTCGGGAATCAATGTGATGGTCTTAATATATTAGTACTGGCCTAAGGGCCCAGGGAAATCTTCTATAGAGTGAAACTCTGTGCTTGATCAGGACCAGCGGTTTCTAGTCTCATTAGGGAGCGGCATTTCCGCTACCATCAGTTGTTTGATATTTTGCCGCATTGGCACGCGGCAACCTTCAAAACTACCTGACGCCTAAGTGAAGCATGTGAGCGCATCTGTTGGGCCTATTATGTGGCAACTAAGTTTTCAACGCTGCATCACTATTCAATTGAGAAATATGAATAGTGGAAATTTGTAAACCCTATTTACTCAAGCTGAAGTTACAAAACGGATAGCGGGCTTTTGTGAGGTGATCGGGAAGACCGAATCCGGTACCTTTTACTCGGTTTCACCATCCTGGGTTTCCAAAATCACTTAAACTGTGTGAAAGAGATCACCTAGGCAATTAAAACCCTGTTATATATGTATTGGGGGCGAGATGGCTCAGTGGTCAGAACACGAATTTACTGACCGGAATGTCTGTGGTTCACGACCTCTGTCTCTCGACTTCCCTTGTCTAGGCTTGAGCAACCTGGCAGTATTCCAGCCCTCGTACTTCCTTCAAGCGGTATGGCAGCTAGGCACCGATAAAGTGTTACAACTGAATGATTATCTTTTCTATTTATCTTTTTTATCTATGTATTCAAAATGTATTCAAAATGTACTTTAGCCCATGATAAGGTACCGCAAGCCCACACCGAATTTCACTGCAAAAGCCTCATATCTTGACTTGATTATATGGCCATTCTGTGACTTCTGAATGAAACTTTTGTCCACGATATGCGTTGGTTGGGATCAAGCTTGTCTGCCGTCTACTCTGGATCCAAACAGTCGTGGGGATGGTGCACAATCGACTTGGCTAACGGAGAAAGTCTAGGTTTCATGAACACTTTGAACAAGGGAACTGTTTTCTAATGACTGTGATTTTTTATTTGAATCTCAACAGTAAACCGCCCGTGGATGCGATATTTTCAATTACCTGTTCCTTAGTCCAAATATCAATCTTTTCCATAAATTATCTGAAGCCTGAGCATGAGGCCTGGTCAGTATCTCCACACTAGATTGCGTGAATGCAGTCGAAGCTCACGGATAGAAGGTGTATTTTGCAATATAGTGTTAGACTTTCCGTATTCGAGATAAACCATATATGGGAATTCGGGTGAAAGTACTGTTATAGTGTGGGCAGAGACAAGTTAGTTCTTGATTAATTTGAGTAAGAGATTCGCATATCAATCACATGTCTACTCTCAAAAGTTTATTGAGTATTATCGCACGTGTGATTTTCGGTAAAACTTTCAGGCGAGTTTTAAAGCTGTGGCCAATTCCCTTTTACAAGATAACGGTGGTATACTTGATTATCTCTAAATTTGCTTTAAGAAGAGCCCTCATCCCCCGCGTAAAGGTTGGGTGTCGGTATATACTCTTGGATAGATGTTTTGTTTACACGATAATTCTTCGAGATAACAGACAGCCTAATGGAGGCACATATTAGGCTTTGAGTGCGCCTGCCTCCTAATGGGTACTAGCCTTGTGGGCGTGTTTTCGACTCTCCAGTCGGCATCTATTGTTGTCCTCGCAAATGAGTAGGCTAGGTCAGTACACAACTTAATACCAGTAAGGTGGGGTAGTGGAAACCGAAGTACATTAGCCGGCTAATTGCATATTCTCCTGCAATGTAAGTTCATCCACATCTCCCCTTATTAATTTAGCGAATCCACCGACCCAATATCGATTACCTCTGCAAAGCTGGGAACATTTTGTGAGGATTGGTACGGACTAAACAGAAGAATGAATCGGTTCGTCGACCAAAGGCCTTGGCTTAATACCATGAGCGTAAGATAGCAGCGGTTGGCGCAAGATCGCCAGGGTGGTCTACTTTTCAAGCGGCGAGTTACCCCTAGTTTGGCAATAAATTAAACTACTGCTAGCTGGTGTGCGTTAATCGGCTGTGAAACAATAGATCTACGATCACTCAAAAGTATTTTCCAACCACCGGTCAAAGGGGCTATGCCAATCTTGTTTTGACCAGTCTGTCGCTCATATACTCCTCAGGGTGGCACGCTACTCACAAGGTTGCTGAAAACTTTCGACAGCCCATGACCGGTTTCGCCCTTCATCAGGTGGGTGCCGTCCCCGAGTTTCCGTCAACCTTATGATCTACTTGAACACAAATTGCACTGTTTTCGAGAAATACACTCATTTGTAAATCAGTTTGGTTTTCACAGGAGACTCAAGTGAATGATACTCTTCAAATTGATGTGCTGCGCGAAGGCCATCTCATACTTCAGTTCGTGATTAGTTTTCATTTCCGCAGGCTGCCATAGGACTGTTTTATGTCACCAACCACGCACTGAACAAAAAAACGCGACATTTGAAGACCCGCAACTTTGGGACCTACATTTTTACAGTAGTTCTCAAAGTCATCTTGATGCAAGTAACTTTGTACTGGGAACTGTAACCACAGAATATCTCAAGCACGGAGTTGAACTAGTTTGAGGTAAGGTGAGAATCCACCTTTGTGCTTGCAAAAGCAGTTGCTCCTTTGAGATAAACTACGAAAAACAGGTGGTCCAACACAAAATGTCTAGTTGGTAACTATTTAGCTGATGAATATGACGATCATGGGGGGTCAATAAACCCGAAACATAGCAAATTCTCAGTCTCAATCCGTTGAACAAAAATTATAGGTCTCAAAATAACCCATTTGTCCTATGGGCATTCAGCATCAGTTTCTTAATTGGACAAAATGTGCATCGAATTCGTGGCATCGAATTACTACTAATAGAAGGAAGGGAAGCCCCTTTCTGCGGAGTTATTCAAAACCAAACGCGAACGTAAACAGGTTTCCTGAAAAGTGAACATCCCTAAGCATCGTTTCAAGTTTTCCTTGAGATCCATAGAGTAATGAACAACAATAAACGAACACTGCAAAAGCGGTTCCAGAACTTCCAGAGTAGCCTTGACCTTTCGAGGGGTCGAAGCCTGGACCCTGTAAAATAAACTATTTGCATGCTTTATCAGTAGTATACACCGCCACACTAATAGAGAGCAAGAATATACAACATTGTCAAGTATGTCCCTTATGGGGGGAGATGGCTCAGTGGTTAGAGCGTGAACTTACCTACCGGAATATCCATGGTTCGAACCCGACATCTCGACCGCCCCTGTCTGGGCTTGGGCGACCTGGCAGCATCCCAGCCCTCATGCTTCCTTCAGATAGCATGGCAGCTAGGCACCGAAAGCATGTTACAGTTGAGCGATTCCCCTTAAAGTGATCTCGAAGGACACTTCACAATTCTTTAATTTGTTTGCCTCATGATTGTAAAATAATTCCGCCTTATTCAGAGAATAACGTAGTTGGCACATCTACGGACGTGGCATTAAACAGAGCCAGATGTACAGATGACTTTTAAGCCCTAACTAGTTTGCAAAATTATCCATTGTATTGTTACTGTGTCAAGAAATCACACAAAGTCTACTGTTCAACAGTCAGCAGGCACGCTTTTGCTTCCTTTATCCTTGCTTGAACGAGTTTGACAAATCTATCAAAGGAGATAGGTTGCTTGTATTCTAGACCTCATCGCAATCACAAAGCCATTTGATCCGATTAGATCGCCTTGGTCTGCCACTCCTTGGTACTTGTCACAAATATGCTTATTATATTTTATTCACCCAATGCTCACTAGCCTTGAATAAGCCCTAGGTTAGGAATAGCAAGGCGAGATTTACAGAAGCTTCAAACGAAAGAGGCTAAATGTTGAGCGAGTCCCTAAACTTGTCGGGTAACATTGGTCCTTGTCACCACTGGCGTGGACGGTGTGACATCAGTGTTCAACACTAATGCTTCGTTACAGTGAGAACATTTGTAAACTAGCTAAAATGCGTTGGTTAGTAGCATCTGATGCTCGCTGCTCTTCCTAGAAACCGATTTGTGAGATGGAAATATCGCGATAGCCATGTTAAATCGGTCATTCAAACACCGAATACATGAGATATAACTATTCATACTCTTTAACTTGAAACTTACTGGCAGTTAGCTGTTTTATGCTAATGTCTTCCCATTTGCTTTGAACTTGGGCCAAACTGGTTGCCTACTCACTGGGCTTGAAGAAGCTGAAATTCACCCGACAATGAGTCCACAACGTACCGCAACGACCAATTCTCAATCGGTTCTAAGTGTCGCTTCACTGATAGTCGATTTTTCGATTCCACACTGATCACTTTTCAGAATCATCAGGCTAATGTATGGGATGACATCGTTTTTAGAGATGTTTCGAAGCAGAACTTACCCCGCGTCAAGACGTCCTAATCAAATGTTCACATATCCGAGAGAGAGAAAGGAGCTGAAGCGTACACTTGTTTCTATCGGCGCTGCTCGCTGTAACACGGAACTTTGTTACATTTAGCTTACACTGTACGAGCATTGTCAAATCCTCGTGTCAGCTACTTTAAACCAGACGTACATTACTCAGTGAGTGACCATCGTCTGCATACGATCAATCCCAAATTCTGTTTGCAGGTGTCTTATCACTAAGTTTGGCGGGGGAGAACACTGAAATGTAGCTCCATAAGACCAGATCAGATCGATAGTATCCCGGACTGTGAAAGTACAACCATCCAACCTTAGTTTTTATTCCACGAAGTGGAAATATACACATTAGCATTTAGCGTTTACAGTTTCCATTAGGAATCACTGTAGAGCTAACGTAGGTACAGATCGATTGCCAGAATCGGAAGCTATACACACTTACATGGAATGAAAAACTATACCAGTGATACGTCGTTTGATTGAATTAATGCGGAGACAAGGGATAATGTTCGACGTCAGCGCGGTAGTGAACAGTTGTAATTAGGTTTACCAAGGATACCACATACTGGTTCTGGTTCCTCTCAGTTCAAGACCACATTCCGGGTTTGATAAAATGTAACGCTGCTCACACTCATCAGCGATGCGAGTAATACATACGAGTGGTATCTATACAGTGCATAAATAGTGGATCTTATCATCCGTGAACTGGAGAATTTTTGAAGAATTGCCCGTTTTAGGGAAACATATTTTCAGGGATCATACAACTACTGACATCCTGATCACAACCTTGAAACGTGCTTGGTTTTATGAAGTGAGACAGTGGACTATTAGCTGACCTTAATTAGAGTTCTAAGTGATATTTTACATGGGGACGAAATCCTTGTAAGTTCAGTCTGGAATTCAAGTACATTCAGGAAAATCGCGGTACTCCGAGAAAAATTCTTATGACAGCAAAGCCTTCAGGTTAACTAGTTACATATGGTTAAGTCTAATAGTTTGGTTCGTTAGATGGAAAAAAACAATGTCAAAAATTGTTAAGGACATGATACACTACCCTTGAAGTTGCTTAAATATCTTGGACAGCCCACGATTGGTTTTGTCCTTCTTGGGGTGTATCCGATAGGCGAAGTCCCCGAGTTGTCATCAACTGTATGTTTCACCTGAACCCAAATAGCAAGGAATCCGACTTAAGCGCTGATCTGCGTACCAATTTAGTTTTGACGGGAGACTCATTTGGAACCCAGATGAATCACACCTACTCACTGCATCTGTTCTTCAAAGGATTTCATCCAACTTGTGGAGAGAAAGTTTTGTAGTTTACAACAGTTTTCCATATTCTACCCTGCACAATTTGAACCAAACAGTTGCGTCTGAGAAAGTGATCAAAAGCAGCTAACACAAGCGTCCACAGTCCATTTACGAGAGCCACGAACTGAATGAAAGTCCCACTTGAGCAAACACAAATACAGCAAGAAAGCCACTTGTCGTAATATGGTTGTCTTCTAGGTATCATTCAGATAATCAGGTTTCCCGACAAAGCGGGGAACATTTCAAGGTAAGCTGGAGATAAAACCAGTAAAAATAGCCAACACTGAGCACCAGAAATGACGATATACACGAAGATGAATTATTCGTTTTTTTGTAATGTACTACTCATAAGGTTGGTGAAAATCTGTCGACAGCCCACGACCGGTTTCGCCCTTATTGGGGCTCATCAGGTAGGCGCAGTCCCCGGGTTTCCGTCAACCTCATTTTCTACTTGAAACTAAATTGCACGAAATCAGCGAATATACCCTCATTTGCGAACTAATTTGGTTCTTTCTGGAACGCAGCTGAATCTCTCGTGTGTGATGTTCTCAGGCAAACGAGCGTTTGCAAATGAGTGTATTCGCTATTCGTTTTTTTATTTAGCCCATTGGCAGAAACCCCAAATCAGTTTTAAATCGGTGGAATAAATCATAAAAATAGTTTGACGAAACGCAATGCAACGAAACTGGTACCAAGAACACGCTTCTGATAAACATCAATGAGGTGAACGGATACGATCACTTGGTTAAAATGTAGCAAACCGAATGCCAGAGTGTATGATCTGGTTGATTGCTTGATAAATATTTGTCAAAACACCTCATGGGACTTCCATTCCGTAACTCGCTTCTCGGAATTAGCGAAAGGAACTTTGTTAGTAGGTAAGCAGCTGAACTTATGCGGTACACCGTGAGATAACTGAGAGTTATTGACTTTGCAGTGTTCTGAGTTTACAAATCAGTATGCAATCTCCTAGTAACGCGATGTTCAGCGAAATTTATCTGGAGACTGTCTAATTGTGCCGACTGATTGCTTTGTTCTCCAAGTATACAGACAATGCGAATCGCACCGGTACATTGCCTGAAAACATCACAAACGAGAGATTCAGCTGGGTTCCAGGTGAGTCACTCGAAAAATCAAATTAGTTTGCAAATGAGTGTATATTCGCCGACACTGCTTTATACTTTTTGCGCATACAAAGAGTGCACAAATTGTATTTATCTTGCAGTTTTGTTGATCTCACGGTGAACCGCCAAATTACATATTTTTTACTCCGATAAGTGCATTTGTAGACACCATCTCTGGATGAATTTGCGCATCATTTATTCATGCATGCATATGGTAATTTTGAGTTGGATCGACTGAACTTTTCCCCAGCACCTTTTATGATCTTCCGAAGCTTGTCTGGGATGATATCAGGTTGTCTTTCCACCGACAATTCCCCCTATTCATCTTCTGTAAGTACAGAGGAAAGAATGCGTGAGAATAAAATATTTGAATCGACTTTGAACGGTATATCTTGCTCGAAATCGAGGATGATGAGCGCTTGAAATGTTGGATAAAGTGCGTCCTTTTGCGGATAATATGTTATCTTGTTCGCCAATTTCATCCTGCCTAATATCTGATTCTCGCTTTCATCTGCATCAGCCTATTTGTTGTGACATATATCGTTGGCCTTGGGAGCAGAGGGTACACTTTTAAACTGTTCATTTTTGTGTTCATTTTTGTCCATTTCCAAGGCAATGAGTGCAAACCAAACCTTGGTTGCATGTTTCATTTAGGAACCCACCACAGGTGTCTGTCGATTTCAGTGGGAGCCGATCTGAACTGCTGGGGCACGTTCAGACCATTCGTTCTCCTTTTATTGCACTAAGTAATGGGTGAATATCCACTTGGTGGAATAGCTCCATCTGGGACGTGGAGAGGCTGGGTAAAGACTATAGATATGCTGTATCATCAAGGAACACCCAGGAACACAGCTAAATGTGAGCTGCGGCCTGTGAATGTATACGTCTTCTCCTCACCAGAACATCCCTGTTGAGTGAAATTGGATGCTAATATGTAATGAATATCCTGTGAATTTACTGCACCGTGTGGTTGGGGCATCTAATTGTAACCCAGTTCTCCAAACAATGGAACTTTAGGTCTTTGAACTGCGCACTCAGTCGAGAACATGTTTGCTTGTTCAGACGTGACAGTGCAGCTAAGTCCTACGGGGCTTCAGATGTTCGAAATCCGGAGTTCAAACCCCGGCGCCTCCGAATGTGTGCGTTACTGATGAGTTCTAATAAGAGGAAAACACGAATTCAGTTTCTTCTTTCTTCGGTGTGAACCCACAAAACGAATTGCACCATGACTGTACAAAAGAGAGTAACGAGGATCTATATTCCACAGATCCTACCAACCCCTTTGGAGATTTGCCAGCAAACTGAGATTAATCTGTGGCTTTGAATTCGACGTCGTCGAAAACACTCTGTCATAAATTGTCATACTACCGAAACCAGATTTCTACAGAACCAAGTTACTGATAGTTTGTTATGAGAAATTCACGGTTGCTCGCTTTAATTTGCCCCGCTGGACTTCAGATTCGCGGGTTACCTGCCGGTGTGATACCGGTGTGATCTTCAAACACTTCGTCTGCGTGTGCTGTTTGGGTTCATTGTATCCACAAAATGATCTACTGAAACGTGCGTCCATACTAGGCAGATGTATATTCTAAATTGTTTCGAATAGTTCGAATAGCAAAAACGCCCATTATTATCTACTATTTTTACTTATGCTATCGATTTTTTCGCACTGGACTGGCTTACATTAAAGCGTCCAGTGATACTGTTTTTTTGTCGGTGGAAGTGAGCAACATCAGATTTCAGACTAGGAGCCTTGGTCCCCAGTTTACAAAGTTCCTGGAAATACTAGAGTATTTTTATGCATAGGAGGGAGTGAATTTCACCTCTTATTCCACTGTTTACTTCTATAAATGACATTGAGTTCACATCAACCCGGATAAGATGTAATATACCTTTTCTATTCTTTACCATAGTGGTCTGAAATGTCACCCCGGACGTTTTGTCCCCGGTCATTGCAAAAGTCAAGCGTTCAACCCTAAACACTAACTACCTCGCGTCCAAGGAACCCCATCCGGTTGCATAAGGTTCAACTCTAAACAATAACTACCTCATCACGGACAACTACCGCGCGTCCAAGGAACCCCATCCGGTTGCATAATATCACCGAGATTTCACATTCCGAGACGCTATATCTACTCACCATAGTATGCAATAATTGGCTTTCCACCCACAATTCCGTCTGCGTTGCATCTGTGACAAGTACGTGTGTGTGTGTGTGGGAACGCAAATTTCGCCATAACTTAGGAGAAACTGGAAATTTTATGGAAAAACCCGAAACATAGTGAAAAAGCTTGAATTCTACCACGTATGACAGACCTTTCCGATATATGTGACGCCGTATGATCTTCTACATCATGCGAAATCCTATCATGTGCAAAACAATCTAAAATCCGGAATCGCCCAAAGTGAGAATCAAATTTTCAGCTTAAAATAATGTGACGATTGTTCATTTCAAGTTAAAACAAAATTAAAATATTAAGCAAGTAGCTGTGACGCGTTTTCATACAGTGTCGCCATGCCAACGTTGGGCAGCACGAAGGCTGAGTTACTGCGATTCTACCGAAGCCTAGGCGGAGGTAGTCGAGATGCCGAAGTTGGATTTAAACCGATAGCTTTCCGATCGCTAATTTCACGTCCCAACCATTTCATCTGTCTCAAGCTTGAGTTTATATAGTTATAGTTAGAGACGTTACGGCCATATAGCAAGGGGAAACAGAACAGCAAAATTAACAGTCTTTTGTGTTCCAAAGTTCACCCAGCTATTAGTCATTTCTTTGAAGTTGGCTGCACCAACTACCGGTGACCAGGCCGTTCCAACAACAGCCGGCCAACGGCCCAACTGAGTCTGATCCAATCAGGCTCGAGGGATTGGTCTCGGGACGGACGATCACAATCCACCTTGAGCTGGGATGAGGACTTTGATGTTACGTCAGTGACAGACCTTACTGTTAAGAAAAGTTGAACTTTGTTGTCCTCTGTTGCTTACTTTTGTGTAAAGAGTACCGTAGACTTTCGGACTCAGATTTCCCTTAAGATATTTTTGATCGTTATACCTGCCCAAACTCAGAGTCCTGTATCGAAAAACCAACATTCGGCATGATGACAAAACGAAGCTCTGTGCGGTCTTTCCTATGAATCATACGTAACCTCTCTGAAAGTTTCGTAAATATTTATCGTGCGGTTTCTGGTAGGCGTCATTTTCAACGGGAGCTTCGCAGAGCTTGAACTGATATACCGAATAAACCGTGTGTCACGCTACATGACTAGCGGGTCAATCGATCGTCACGACCAGGACAGTTATTGGGTCGCCGTTCGATGAGTCGGAGACACCAATCACATCGCTCAGTTGTGATCACGTTCGCCTGTTCAGACGTGAAAATTCGGTTACGCCCAACGTGCGTTGATGGAGTAGTGGTTACACGCTCGCCCCACATGTCACGTGTCACGGGGTTTAGATCCCGTGCACGGCCATTGGATATGCACGACTGATGAGCCCTAATGAGAGCGAAACTCGAGTCCAGTGCTTTCCTTCGTTGTGGACTCACCGGAATAATTAGACTAGAACGGGAGGACGACCGTTCAAACGAGAGTGGTGCGACTATGAACAAGATACCTATCCCGGAAAACTCCAAAACTGCAACCAAAGCTGAATTCTTGATACATTTCACATGATCCCATCATTTGATTCTCTAAATGTTTTGACCCCAGGACTGGCCGCAGCCAAATAAATTTAGCCTACGGTGCCACGGCTGAAGATGTTCTGTGGCTAAGCCGCGAACCAAAGCTCTACACCTCGACTACTCTGTATAAGCATCGGCAACTAGGGAATATCTCAACCCTCGCGCTTCTTTCAGGTGGCATGGCAGCTAGACATCGGAAAGGTGTTACAGCTGGACCACTATGACACACATGCGCATCAAAGCGGATTCACACTCGGATCCGCTCGATTCAGTGAGTGTTTAGCCTCGAGGCGCACCATAAAAGACGCAACATCTGGCATTACCAACGCTGCGAATAACGCTTGAAGGCTGCTTCATGACAGAGGTTGGGAGCATGCTGTCTCCACAAAATGATTATTTTCTGCAAACATTCGCAAACTGAAGACAAATCTGTTAGAAACAATCAGGTTAAATTATCATCGACAGCAATGGCTCGATTTGGTACAGATCCATCCCACTTTGTGACAGCTAATCCATCCAATCAGTGATGAAAACGAAACACAAGCTCAACTCAAATGGGAATGATACTCGGAAAAAACGTTGGAAGTTGAGTTTGCATCTGCCTGTCCGATATGATGAAATCTAAGGAAAACCCGATTCGCAGTCGTTATGAAAACCATACACAATTGATATAGGCTTATTTGGTGCGGTTTAGGATTGCCTGAACAGTGCTTGAACCTTCGATTAATTGTTCTACTGGCAGCAAAAGGCAATCAGTATCGCAACAATGTCACATTTCATCCAATAAAGTTGCTCAGATCAAAGTTCTTTGCTATTTTTGTTACCCTTGCCTGTGCCTTGTGAATGTAAACAAGCAGAAAGTTTGAATGAAAAATTGCGAATGCCATTTGCACTTCTAGTCATTAGTGCTTGCTTCAGTGAGGTTTAGCTGGCACAGCTGTCGACTGAGGCAGGAGCACCTTACCGACTGTTCCATCCACTGGGACGCCATTGACGTTATCCTACATTTCAAGCTTTCCTGCCGTCCATCCAACAAGCCGGATCCATGAAATTCTGTGCAGTAAATATTTGATGAAGGATGACAGAAGACCTTCAAAAATGTTGACGGATATCTGTGCCCTAATATCACTTCATCGTCTGGGAGGGTTAAAACATCACAGGACATCCGAAAACCTGATTTCTGCTCGGAAAACCTACAAATGGTGTGGACAAACTGAATGTTTGCAAGTGCTGTCCTAAATCCGATCAAAAGATAAGCCCCAATGCAAAAGTCCGTCTAAGAATTGGACGACGGTAATTAAGATCAATTCATTTACAACTATGCCTGTAACGGTGATACTACTGATGGGGAGGCACGTGAGTGATGTGTGTTGTTCGTGTAATTTCGCTTTACATCTTTTGAAAAGTGGAGATCTGTTGCGGAATTTGTGGAGTCGCTTTATAAGATTTGCTTGGATTTGAGCGATGAATGATTGGAGTCAATGAATATCCAGGAAAGTTCAAGAAGACGCGTTCAGGAGAGGATGAATGTTCAGTTTTTGTAAATAAGATGCAAATGAGAGTTCTGCTTCCCTGTCCAATGGTCTGTAACCGGTCAGTTGGCATTTCCTAATAAATGACTCCACAGTGAAGGCCTTCTTCCTTTCATGCGTATACAGACGAAAGTGTATGTCGCGTTTGCTTTCGGAGAGCTTCTTCATTTAACGCCTCCAGTAGTTCTGAATTATGAAGGATAAACGTGGTCAGTGATCTGGACATCATTTATGTGAAGGTAGAGCCTTAAGTGTGACAAAAAGGTCGCGAGAATCCGCTTACCCTGTGTGGAAAAACTAACGTATATGATACTCAGTTTGGATTTTGCCCTGCAAGTGAAGGCAGTCTATTCTGAAAAGCCAGGAAGTACCGTATGTATGTTTCTTGCTTAATGAGATGCTACCTGTGAGCATAGAACGGATTAAATCTGTTTTTTTAGTTCACTTTTTGAATCCTGTAAACTTGATAAAGTGTATACATGTGCAAGATTCATCTGTAAGTCGATTCGCACATATTCTGAACAAGATGTAGCTTTTCAATTCCTATATGTTTTTTTTATTTAGTAAAAGACACCAAGTATTTTTGAGCTTTGAGATAATTTCGAGTTTTCCACCTATCCTGGATACTTGGATGGAATTGCCTTACCTCGTGAGATACGCCGTCTCAATCGCGAAAACTGCTTCAAACATCTGAGCGCCTCCAGATATAATTGAAAAAATGCCGGATATGAGGGCTGACGCCCACGCTTAAGCCATGTAATCTGGTCAAAATGTATTTTTAAAAGAAAAAAACAAGTGAAAATTAACCTTTACGATGTATATTGAAAAGGTGTAAAAAACGAAGTCAGTGAAACTCATTACAAACATTGGAGTTGTTTAAAACAGTGAGGTTGTCTTCTTCGTAGAAATAACTCGGGGAATGAGGAGGCATTTGTTAAAAAAACCGACCTGAAGCCGTCTAATTCCACAACCACATACAGTCTGGTTATTGAGTAAGTGGCTGTTGATCTGTTCGCCAAGCTCGGAAATTGATTTGCGTTCGTTACCATTCGAGTAGACATGTTCAGTGCGCTGTTGGCTGGGTAGTTCCTCACTTCATGCCTGCGTTTATACAGTTTCCAAAGAGCGGCCTTTGCGCTGTAAACTTACTGCCCTTTCACAATCATTCTGCTTGGATACTGGTTGGTCCAATCTTAATTTGTTTTGCGTTGTGGTTTGTATTTCTTGTTTCCTACGACCACGCTACCGCTAAAATAGTCTGTTCCGGTTGGCCCATTCGTGATCTGTATTAAGTTGTGGCTAGCTTCGCCGTCGTTTGATTGGTTTGTGGTGTTGCTTCTATTTTTGGTAGTTTGTAGTTTCATCACTTTTTTAATCCTCGTTCGGCTCCGGGTTTTGTGGTTCGAGATTTTCCTCGTGCTCAGAGGCGAGTAAACAGAATCGATCTCAATGTGTCTGATTATTGCTCCATCAGTGGAGTACGATGCCCCCATGAACTTGCGTTCTCTCTTTGTTTTTGCCTGGCCCAGTATGCTGACATTATTCCAATCGAATTTATCCCTCCACATCTTCGTGTGCAGAGATGAGTGACAGTTGGTCGAGTATCTTAGTGATGAGTTTGTGGTCGTCAACTCTAGTTGACAGTTTCTTCCAACTTTGTCCCAAGCAGTGGTTTTCACAA